AACCATTCCGAGGAGAATATATGAAAAGAAGAGAAGGGAAAAGAATAAAAAAAAGTAGAATAGCCTATTATCTCTAACTTTTCTAGTGATTTAGCGGCTTAAATGATAAGTTAAAAGATGAAAAACAAGCCAATGATATACAAATATAAAACCAAATCACTATGTAGTGACTACACAGACAGATTTAGTATTTGACCATAGATGGAAGAAATCATTAAATCTCAATAACCCACATAAATTCATCTCAACTACGCCACAAACAGATAATAAGGAACATATCAGTTTTGGAGATAGTACCCAGACACTTTGTCATCAAATTCTCCTTGCAAGACCTCATGCAGCATAGTGGTATAATCTTTCTGGCTTTCTACCTCTAAAGAATTCAGAGAAGACTCAGAGCTATTTGTAGGAAACTGCGAGAATTTAACATCATTCTTAAGTGGGGATAGCAAACTACATAAGTAGAAAATGACAAGCCAAATCATAAAACATATTTGTTTATTCTAAAGTGTTTTTTTATTAAGAGTGGGATGCTACAAAGAAAGATCTTGATTAATCTTCATGGATGCATAAGTATTGCTAAATTTCCAAATATTTGAATGCAGAAATTTCAAACATACTAATAAATACATGTTCAATCAATTTATTAAAGAACTTATTGCAATTTTTACTAAAACCAACAAATAACAAATCTGAATAAAAGATGTACTTTCTCCATTAGTTTTTGCCAACTAGACCCACTACTTCAGGTTCACAGGAACAGCCTAAAATTCACATCCTCTGATTGGCATTGTGATTTTTATAAGTTCAATAGAGCAGTCACAATGTACTTGCATCATATTGCAAGAGAAAAAAGTGACCTTTTCATTATCCCATATTCATTCTTGATTATCCTATGATTGGAAGTATTGCCTAGAGAATAAGAGCAAGATAATCAAGTGAATTTGACTTCTTCTTTCAAAACATGTATAGCAGGAATCTAATGAGAAAGCCTTACGACCACCTGGGCCTTCTCTTTGCCATAGCCTAACATATTCGTCCTCCACATCTTTAAGGTGGCGATGTTAGGGATTTTGAGGCAGTGAAATATAGAATGAAAAACTTTTCCATAACAGAATTGCAGATAAACCAAGAATAAACATAATCCAGTCAGATTCTCAAGTAAGTCGGTACCGGAAGTTTATTGCCAAATTCAGAGATAAGCATCTCATCAACCAGTCGCAGAAAGTATAATGTATTGTCCCGACAAGGCTGTGAACTAAAAATATTCTCCTCGGCAGATATATCTACCAGCCTTTGAATTAAATTGTCATATATGTCACAAAGCAGGTATTGACATGATATGCCACCCTATCAAGAAAAAGATATTAAAGTAATTATCCATTAATGGGCTAAAAAACATCATAAAGAATTCAAATTAAAATATATAGATACTTTGTAACATGGTAAGGAATTTGACATACTTGCCCACACTGCAGAAGTAGAAAATTCACCGTCTCCTCTAATTGTTGCCAGCCACCTTTTATAAAATGTATATAGTGACAAAGAACAATACAAAAAACCCTCCTCACAAGATTTTGCTCATTTGTTTCATAGTCACCTTGATATCTTGAATCAGGCCTATAGTCTTTTACCACATCAAGTTTCACAGAAGCTGTTAACCAAGCATTCCAACCATATTCCTAATTGCAAAATTTGAATAATTAGATAATCGGATAGCATTTTTAAAAGCATACACAGCATAAATATGATATCAATAATTAACTGAATGCAGTACCATTAAAGCTTCTATATTCAGAGGATTTGAATCAAGAAGGTCAAGTAGATCACTAATTATTTTCATTCTTGCAGATGCATCTTTGCAGCTGGATAGGAATCTGAAAATCAGAACCAAGATCTGAGGAAGGAAAAAGTGAGAATTATTTCCTCTGCCCCTCTGCTTGTCAACCAGGCTGTTTTTCTGTAACACCTGTAAACAAATATTTTCAAGAAACAATACAGGTGGAAAAATATCAGAGAATTACCACTACCACAGGCAATCAAGTGAGTAACAGAAACAGCAGCTAAAACATACTAAACTAATAGAAAAATGAGCAAAAACAATCCATGATTTGGTTGATCACCTGTCTGGGGCTAGCACCACCGAGAAGAACATCAAACAAGGTGGCGCACAAATTATCCGTCTGTGGAAATTTAAACAACCTGTCAGATATAGCTGAGAAGAGTGGTTGCATCCTTGAGCTAATTTTCTTGTTGTTTTCTGAAAGAGATTTTGATCTTCCAACAGCAAGATTGAAAAATCTTAGCCCCTTTTTCTCTGATGGAAAACCAACCAAAAGTCTTCCTAGAAACTGTAAGCCAAGCAATCTGATGGGTTCATATTCCCTACACAAAATAAATTGAAGGATGACCATAAGGACTTGCGCTCTTAAATAGAACACTTTTGCAGATTCCAATCAAAGTAATTAAAGTCATTAATAGGAAGTTAAATGCATTCATTTATAAAAATTATAAGCTAACTACTAAAGCAAAATATACTTAAGCTTGCACTTGGTTCAGCATTTTCTGCAACTGCATATTATTCTAAATCAACACTGGGAACAATAAAAAATGGTTAAAAAAATTTTCTAACAAAATTCTAGTAGACAATATTGTGTCAGACCACAGTGACAAAATAAAAAACAAGAAATAAAAAGAAAAAGGAAAAAAGAAGATGCAGTTTTAAAATCAAAATTAAGAGGAAAAAGGTTCACAGATGCTTGAGAAAAATAGTATGGTCTCTTAACAAAGATTACTTCCAAGGATTCAATGGCAATATTCAACTTCGGGGAAAAATCATATCAATAGTTAAAGAGAAATACAAAACCAGTGAAAACCACAGCTCCACTTAACACCCCCCACCCACACACAAATCTCCAAAACCACCTCTCTTATAATTTAAATCTTGACCCTTCTGCTCAGAGAGGGAGTTGCCAATAGGCCACAAAGGCTAAAGGCATGACACATTGTTAATACTAAAGTAGGATAATCCTAGGTTGTATTTTAAATCCGGTGCCCAATTCATGTTCAATACACATTAAGACTCTTCATCAGCAACACTTTTTGTCCTAAATTTATGTGTTATAGTAAGCCTTAGTTTTCTAATCCCTTAATCTACCAAATGAGCGATTCAAGCACCATTTAAATTGATTGATGAAAGCATGCACCTCCATTGCGTTTCAAATACTAGTTTGTTCAATATCTTTTCCAGGTTGTCCAGTAACAAATATACCAAATAATAGAAATTAGATAAACTAAAATATAAATAAAGGGCAAAACATAACCATGGCTGATGTGGCAAATGAACAAGGCAACTACATTGTAAAATGTCAATACTAAATCCAGGTTACAACAAACTAGCAGAGCATATTGCTAAATGACTCCAATCTTGACAGTGGCCCACTCTGGCAAAGCATTCTTAGCTTTACTTCTCCATCCCTTTAATCCTAGTGTCAGTATATATAAAATTCTAGCAACAGTTCATTAATGTTTTCGATTAAAAAACACAGTAAGGTTTAATTTCATTCATAACTGCAAATAATTCATAACATGTCAAACCTCTCAATATTAAACACTTAGTAAGAAAGTACACTGTTAAAGGAAATATATTATATGAAGATTTATGTAATTTAAAGAAATACACAACAAAAAAACAGATTTGGAAAAAAAATGCTGGAAGCCATTCTTTAATGAAACAGAGAAGGTCACCGTTGCCTCTAAAAAGTTTGTGCATTAAACTCTTAACGCAGAAGGCATACCTCTGTAGCAGATTGACAAAAATGTGACAGCCACCTATCAGATTTACTTGTTCAAGGAAGGAAACAAGCAATGATTTTTGAGTAACAGCACGTATAACCATATGTAAAACATCCTCAATGCATGTCATATCTTGGCTTGTTTCAAAAAAAGCTATAAGAACTTTTATATCAGCTGGTGCAATGTTTTGCCTGCATACGTGCAAAAGTTTTGTTAAGAAAACTGAAAAATAACAAAAAATAATAATGTGCTATATATGTCTATCAAAACGAAATAGCAGATCAAATACTGTACATTAGGCAACATCAGATGCCCTCATTTACTTGAGAATACATACCTGAGGCTCATTTCACCAAGACTTAATAAAAGAAGACGAATTTTACGTATTTCTTCTCTACCAGGTCTTTCTCCAATAACTTGTTTAGTAATAGGATGTAAAAGAGGCTTGCCTCCAATAGCAAACCGAGATTTCACATTATCCCAGTAACACAGCCGTACAATGTCAATAACACGTGGGAGCCGGCACAAACTTTTAAGCAACCTCGGATCATTATCAAATTGTTCAATGAGAAACATGTACAGATCACGCTGCACATTGTAAACTGTGTACAGCCAGATAAGGGGATTAAGAAAAATGGCAGATACGGCTTCTTTCATGAGCAGCTCTGCCAATCCTAAAGAGGAAACAGAAACATCAATATGAATGAGATATATTCATATATGTGCATGAAAATAACTACATTAAAATGAAAATCAAGTGAGTATATGAATATGAATAATTACTACAAAAATAGAACTCGAGATGCTTCATAATCATACCACAGGAAGATACAACATGAAACAAATGCTTCAATGCAGAGAGTGTTTCACTATTGAGATGCTGAGGTTGAAGTGATTGCAATAAAAACCCCAGGATTGAAAATCCAGAAAGAAGATGCATTTGTTGCAGATTTGCTAAATTATCATCTAAAACAGAAGCAATAAGCTCAATAACTTCAGCGGTCAGACGCTCTTTTGCAACAGGCAGGAGCAGTGTACTTTCCAAAACTCCACTTTCATCATTTTCATATCTATCAGACTGAGTGATAAGAGGGAAAAACACAGATACACCCCCAACACAGTAAATTATCTCTTGAAGCAAGCGTCTAGAGCATAACTGTGTACCAACCATAATAGTTGCTTCAAATAAATTCTTATCCAATGCATGATCCAGTACAGGTGAGACATTAAACAATTTCTTGCCATCACTTGCCTGAAAAAGCAATCAACATCTAGGGTTCAGCAAGACACAGAAGCAGAACTGCCTTTTAGACATGCATGCGTGTAATTGTCTGCATGTGCATGTGTGTGTCCCTGAAAGGAAGGGGAAAAGAACCTGTGCATTGAGTCCAAATACAATTTTGGACGCAAGACCATCTTTTGCATCAAGAATTCCACTAGGCAATGGGTTATCCCCAAATGCAGTAGCTTCATTATCAAGGAAAGAATACATATAGCTTGGTCCAAGAGAATGTACAGCCTTGACTTGCTCAGAAGAAATGGCATCACAAAACAAATAAACTGGACCAATCTGACCAAGAAAAGGAAACGAATACTTGATGGAGTCCAGGGTATTATCTTCTTCATTTTGAGGCAAGATGATCTTTGTACCAATGGAGCAACTAGTCAATAATTCATTGACTTTTGCATATCTGAGGCATGAAATAACAAGGGTCAGGAGGAAACTTATCAGTGCTGAAAAATATATTCCTCTCAAAACATGAAAAGCTTTTAATGATAAAAAGTAAAATTCAAACTGAGAATAATTAAAGGTGGCATGATACCTGCATCTTTCAGAAGATACAAGATCACCATCAAGATAACATCTCAATAGGCTACCCCCAGAAAATGCTCTTCCAATGGAATGAGTAATACAAAGAAAATGCCATTTCTTCCTGACTAGATTAACATGCATCTGGATATTCTGTCGTTTCAGATTGATAGACTGTGAAGGACATGAGAAATATATCAATAACTGCAAGAAATTGGCAGTAATGCCCAAGACATAAAATGAAAGCAAGCCGACTTTCTTTTGTGAGTGCCTGTAAGTGGGCATGGGAATTCTTTTCTATTTACTAGGAAATACACACGCAAGGCATTTTCAGTTGGAAAACAAATTAAGCTTTGGAAGAAACTTCCTAGAGACAAACACATCATATATTCACCTCATAAATAAGTTTGTCCTTTGCTACTGCTGCTAAGCACCCTCTTCCATTTTCTGTGAGAAATTTGAAAAGGCCCATTGCTCCATCCCCCGGGAAGTTCTCAACCCTAAGCCAACATGAAAAAGAAAAACCCTTGTTGAGAGGCCATTGCACGGGTGTCTTAATTACGATTCCCTACAAACAAATACATAGATATATGAATATCAGGTACAAATCATAGTCATAAGGCACAATAATTAAAAGAAACATGCTCCAATGTTTGTGGAAAGATATTAGATTAATATCTCTCAGTCTTTAAGCTAGAAGAAATTATCTTCAGAAATGCTCCCAAGGTCGCCAAAAAGACTTACAGAATCATTCCCGTTGAGATCAAAGAAGGCAGTTGGCCCCTTCTCATTTAGCATTGACAAAACAGTGGTCAATAACAATGAGCAGTACTGCTGTTGAGTCCCCACTTTCTCACTTCGGAGGAGAGCAAAGATCTTGCGAATATCCTTCCCAGATATGCTATGGCCACCAATAACCTGAATCAGTTGTGCAATTTTCAAAATGACACTGTCATCATCTTCTTCAACGAACCAATCAAGAAGGAAATTAAGCATTCCTGCCGCAACACATGAAGCTCGATTGGAAAGGGAATCCCTGAGCAGCTGCTGAAACACACTGAGACCATAATGCCGCAAAGACTCACTGCTCTGGCCAATCACAAATTAGCAAGTAATGACATCAAATTCAAAAGACTTCTATTTTGTACTGTACAAATCAGCTATAACAGATTCTGAGGGAATTTAGTACTATCAAACAGAGTAGAGCAAACCAAGAAATATGAATTACTAACCTTCTGTAGAACACTCAAAAACAGTATGATAACATCGTCATTCTGAATCAAAACAGAATAAGAAAAAAACGTATATGAGAACAAAGACAGCGGCACCAATCCAAAGACAACAATTTTTTCAAAACTAAGTGCACTGAGGAAAATGACGAAAGATCATAAAATCATTTCAAGCGACCAGACAGCAAGGGTGACACAGTGGGTCATGGAGAAACTTGAGGAGATTAAATCACCTTTATATGAAGGCTCCCTTTTATTTCAAACTTTCCATCAACAAGCATATCAAGAAGTGCATTTAAAAGTGCTTCACTTGGATGCCATTGGCAGAAGTCTAACAGCAAACTTTGCAATGTCTGATAACCCTTGCCAACAAGAGCTCTAAATGCTGCCTGTAAAATTAATTAATGAATACAAAATGGTACAACACATGAGAACAATGAAAGAATAACTGCCAAGACCCCATTATAATTCTCCATATTGTAATGCAAAAGGATAATGTCAGCGTAATTAGACAGGTGTGCTTTAAAAGCATGACAGGAGCAACCAATAAACACCTAAAAATCTTAAACATACAGAACTAAAACTTAATGCCAGCTCTAGATGTCCCAGGTGTTTTCCTTTTGACATTCTACAAATCTTAGTTCTAGTTCTAGAGCTTACCGTCTAGCCATTTATCATCCAAAGTAGAGGTGGCAAAACCAACCCCAACATGAAAATGTACCCAAAAAAGCCCAAACTTGAACCTGCCTAAACCTGAATTGACCATAAAGTCAAAGACCCGAACCAAAAATGGCTTAAAACCATGATAATCTGAACTGAAAATGACCCAAACCTCATTTGAAATGGCCACATCTTGAGTAAAATCTAAAATGGCCTGAACCTAATCCAATCACGAAATGACCAAAGCCCAGAACATGCTGAACCCAAGAAGACCAAACCAAACCAGCCCATTTGCCACCCCTAATCTCAAGTACAAACAAGAAATTCCCTGCTATGCAGACTACTAAAGGTCAAGAATTCCAAATGCATCAATCCATACTTACTTTCCACATTAAGTGCAGCAGCCTATCACATAGGGTAGCACAGAAATATTACACAAGACAAAACGATCCCAGTAAAACAAATTGGACTTTGCATCCCTTTAATAAACACGGATGAGACTTAAACTACATTTTAGGCAAAGTCAGACGAGTTAGAAAGGTTTTCAATGTTCTCACACATAAGGATGTAGACAAACAGATGGCAGCCACACTAAAAACTGCAATAAAGACAGAAACTAGCGCTGGAGCAAATCTTCACTAAGAAAGACCACTTGTTTGCACTCATCAGGATAAACATATATAAAGCATTCAACTATTCCAGAAAGACTTAACAAACAAGGAAACAAGGAAACAAATGAAAAAAGGAATGCAAATTACCTTTGAGGCATCATTGCTTGCAAGTAGACAGGTAAGAGTTTGTAAAACAATCAAAACCAACCTCTCTCCATTTGCCTCATCAAGATTGCCATTTAGTAAAGAGACAACATGCAAAAAGCATTCTCCATCTCGAAATAAAGCCTGGTAATGCTGAAGAAACATGACATGTGTAAGACAATAATGTAAAACTCAATAGCCAAGTTCCCAAAGACAGCTTTAGAGAAGGGCATGGCGAAGGCGAACAGTACAGGGAACATACCACTGGATCACTCTGGAGCATATCTATCATTCCAACCAATAGATTGATAGACAGTTCAGCAAAGCTTTTTTCACGCTCCCTTATAAGAGTGAAGGTTTCTAAATATTTTGAACATAAGTACGATATCGCTTTTCGATCTTCTTCAGATAGTGTTACAATCTAAAAATATGGGAAAAGAATGGGTTTATTGCTTAACAAGTTAGTAAAAAAAAGAGAAAAAGCTTTATAACAGTTTCAAAACATACCTTCATGAGGTCAAAAATGTATCTAAGAACATGATTTCTCAGACCTTCTTCCCAAAACAATTCAAACAAACAATCAATGCAGGTAGAATCATGCAAAACCAAACTTCTAGCATCATCTGCTACGGAGAAAAATTCCATAAAGAGATCCATGCATGTTTCCATGCATTTGATCCAACTTTGGGATGTCTCACTTGAATCAAGTCTCTGATAACCATGAGGTCGAAACGCTTCCAAAGAATTATTCTCAATCACAGGGCTCAAATTTCCTGACCTTCTAGATTCTTGGGCTAGAATGCAAGCAACTTTGAGAACCCTGGAAACTGCATTGAGTGCCTTAAAGGAAGCAATAGTTTTTTCGGCTGAAAGCTGTAATATCCGAAGCAGACTTTTTGCAAGAACACTAGCAATCTCAGGATTACAAGCAGACTGTTCAAGAGCTTCCAATAATGCAGACAATTCAGGCTGTAACAACAAAGGGAGAAAGTGAAATATAAGCAAACTCCTAAGCACAAACGTACAAGCCTTTACAATCAAATCAAGAATAAATCCTTTTAGGAACATAGAACAAATTGGAACATTCATGGGCATAACACTCACAAGCACATATAAGGAAAAATATTAAACATGCACCCAGACAAAAACATCACAAACTATCATATGCTTCTACCAAAATACATAACCAAATGAAAGGCATCAACTTAAATGTTTATAATATTGCCAATACATATAATTAAGAATGTTAAATGGCTACGTTATATGTTCTCCAACAACTTATGGATTCTATTTTCCATATCACCAAACTTTGCTGAATTTATTCTACAATAAGCAATTACCAATATGTGAAATACAAGAAACACAAAACTAAAATCTTTCAATCAGCATGGTGCTTGGATATGATAGGTAAAAGAAATTAACAGCATAAGCACGCAAAATGGCTAAAAACACTAAAATCAGATATAAAGAAATTCTTAAGTCAACAAATTTCCACCACTATTGTTGTACTGGCTATGTCCACCATTGTAATTTCCGCATTTTAGCATATACATTGGACCCGCATGAATTCCACATTAAAATATGATTACACAAGCATTGGATGAATAGTTCAAGTGTAGTACTGAAAATCTTCAGAGAGAGATTTTCATCACAGCGCCAGCCTTCTAATAAAGCCCACAACACCTCTGACTTGCCCTTGCTAGTCACCTTTGTCAATTTCAACCTCAAATCTAGGTATCCCCCCTTTCAAAAGCAATTTATTATCACCAGGCTAACTAGATAAGAAATTATTTATTCGTGCATGAGGCACAATGAAGACTGGACTGTTTTACAAAGAATATCTCGGATGTATCAAGAACATACCAAGTTATGGACACTCCCATTAGAAGTTGCTGCTAATTCCACAAGTGAAATCACTTCCATCAGAATAATTTCAACCCCACTAAATTTTAGTTGAACAGAATTGTTACCAGAAGCAGAACATTTTTCAAGCTTTTCTGGAGACTCCTCATGGTATGGACTAAACTCTTCAGAAAATTCTTCTGAAGCTGGCCCAAAATAGAAAAAGTTCTCAGAGAAGATAAGATCCCAAATTCCCTCTTTACGAAACACTTCAAGTAATGCTGGTGATGAAACAAGAACCTTCCTGAAAGCATTAAGAACACAACGCTGCAAGGTACTGACAAACACCCTACAAGAAAAATAACAGGGGAAAGTGGGGGAAGGTTAAAAATGAAGGGAGAAAACAACGTGCTAAAGGAAAACAGAATCATAGCTTGCAGGAGTCTGCTTAAATGGCACCATAACTACAATAGAAATAGGAAGGGAGAGAGTAACCTTACCATAAATGGTTTGGCAATTCATTTTGATTTGAACAAGCCTTTATGCATGGGAAAACTGTAAGAAGAACCCTCATGACCCATTTAATTGAAAGTTCGGCATAAACTGAAGAAATTGGCATGGGAATCCGACCAGAGGTTCCTTGGCCATGAAGAAATTTAACATCTTCTGGAGCAAGAAGGAATGAGCTTAGTACTCCGCTCAACTCGACAACACAATCATTCCAAAGTTGATGATAAGAAGCCTTCTCAGATAAAGGAGCAGAAGGCTCTGCCAAACCACTTTTAGCATTATTGTCAATGGATGTTTGACTGCCATCCTGTGGAACTGAATCCTTCATCTGCTGCTTGTACTCTTGAAGCATGAAAGCAGGTGAACAAAAGCTATTTGCGAATTTATGAACTCTTCCATTTTCACATAGAAACTGTAGGTTATTCACATTGCCAAAGCTGATTACTTGTTAAGGTCATTAATATGTATTCACACATAACTGATGATATAAATTATTATATTTGGGCCAATAAATTGAGAAAGAAACCCCTACTGTCACTGATTTCATCGGATAAATAAAATCCACTTTATTACACATTGGAGGAATGGAGAAAAGAAGAGGGTGAGTTGGCAATTACTAACCAAACAAAACCAGTTTGAAATTTAAGACAATATTCTCACTAAAGTGTCCTCAGTGTCAAAGGCAGATGATGGATTGGCAACTTAAGCTCTAACATTAACAGGTACAGCATCCTGGCAGGAATGGACTTAGTGTCAGATTCAGTTATATCTACAGGAGAGTGATATAATTCCATTTAGCATACAAAGCATAAATTTCATTTTCGCAAGAAAACAGTTAAATCATTAAATTGCAAAAAGTGAACCTATACACAAGATTCAGCATACAAGAGAGGTGATATATAGGATACACAGCCTCCCTAAGAACTTCCAAAGAAAGGACATGGAGCTGGAAAATTTTCAGCATGGTATTCTGCTCTCTGCATAAAAGTTAACCACCAAATCATAAGATCAAGAAAGAGAAAAATAAGGAAGAAATAAATGTTCCTCTCAAAAGATTCATAGACAATTAATTTTCTTCACACACGCAAATTAAATTCGAAGGCTTCAGAATGGAAAGAACTAATGGGAAAATGTTGTAAGATCATTGAGCATTAGCTTCCCAGAAAAAGCTAAAAGATTCAAAGATAAGCCTAGCAGACTTTAAGATAGCCTACCCAACTAACTATCACCAGATACCAGCCATGTTTAGCAACCCTAAACCCATTTGGATAGTGTGGGATCATATATCTGATGTAGAGAGCTTCTCAAGGAGGCACTAATGAAACAAGCCAACTAAGCCAATCCCAGCTCTTTCTTGCTCTTCATAGAAGTTCTTGAACAACTTGTAAAAAGGCCAAGATATAGTCAAAGACAATACTCAACAAACAATGGCTAGGACAGGATATCTTAGCCATTACTTTGGCTCTATCTACAGGATTTAGCAAGTGTACAGATGTATATGTTGGATGCTAAACAGAGAGTAAAAATCTTCTAGAAACTAAACTAATTATACAATACAATATGAATTCAACTGCACATAGCATCTATCCATGAAACTCGTTATGAATTTAACTAAAATTCAAGTTTGAAACTTTGGAGGGGAGGGAGGCAGGAAAGGAAAGAAATTGAACCAGAAAAAGTTATCACATGATATACTTAACTTAGTCATGTAGTCAAATGACCAAAAAAACAGGGTGGGGTGGAAATAAAGCTGATGGAAACTTAAAAGAAGATGATCAAATGTATAGACGGACATTGTTCCAGTTTTTTCTCTTCAACAACCAAACCAAATAGAATCAAATGTAGAGAACCAGCATGCTCAATAAAATATCAAGACATAAGTGAATATCCAAAACAAGTTAGTAAAAGTACCTTTGTCCATCAACATGTGAGGTACTCTTTAAGAGTAGCATATTAATTGATGGAAGTGCAAGTCCATCCAATAGAACTTCAAGCCCCCCAATGCTTTTGAAATGATTTTGACCACGTGGATTATCAGATAATGCAAAACAAAGGGTTCTTAATGTCAAGCACTGAAGTGACATATCTGTCCACTGTTCTTTCATACTCAATCTTCTGATGACACGCAACAACTCTGAAAAACGAACAGCTTTCATGAACAGAAAATAAAATGCAAACAAACACATATTCACAAATATATTGTGTTAGTTTCAATTTAAGAAACATTGCAACTGAAAATACTGTTTAAGTTTACATTCATGATGTCTGGTGGTAACCAAATCCTAGATGTATTTTCAAGCCCCCAGGGTGTGCAAATGCTGCCATCCATTCAAGACAGTGGAGGAGTGCTTGAGGAATAGGGATGGAATCAAGTTCAGGAAGCGGTAAAATAGAAGTACACAAGTCACTGTCCCTAGGTAAATGTTCAATTAGAAATAATATATATATATATATATATATATATATGAAATGACAACAATATAGTCAAACATGCCAATCAAAGTAAGTCTTAATACTCCCCAAATGTTGCAAAAGGTCCCAATGATTAACAACAACATTCAGATTACAACCAAACAAATCAAAAAAATGAGTGTCTAATTAATCATAAGCAAGTTACAGAGCAAAATGATTTAAACCAGAGGGAAACAAACAACACTAGCAAGATAGCAGCTAATGTGAGAGAGAGAAGAGAGGCGAGGCAGTCATATTAAATCCAAAAGCACCCAAAAGAAATCAATCTGGAAGATATAAGGAGACTCAATCCAAAGTATAATGACACATTAAAGAAGTGAACCAATTCAGTGACCACTTATAAGGTTAGAATTTTTCACTATTCAGCATAATCATTAGTAACCATATTGCAGCCCCTTGGTATCTATTCTTTTCTGTAGTTCTTCACTTATCAAATGAAAAGAAAAAAAAAAAAGAATATTGCAGCAAATGGTTCTCATATGTTACCAAGTTATGTACGATGATAAACAAAATTGCCTACCTTACCTACTAACCAATTAAGGCCACCAGCTTCCATTACTGAGACAACTGCCTTCTGATGCCAATGTAGTCTTGTTTCAGAAAGAGGACCCTTTAAACTATTAGAAAATTCAATTGAAGATGAAGCACCAATTACAGGAAAATCTTCGGTATTACTGTACAATTGAGCTTTCTCATATACATTTGAATTTAAATCAATAAAGCTACATATGATTGAAACCACATATACAAGTACTCGCTGCAAGAACCCTGTTTTCTCTGCTATCAAATTAGAAAAATTTTCATCAGCAGAAAGTGCCCCAGTCATTGTTTTGAGTTGGATAACTGCCCCTGGAATAAAAAAAAATTAAAAATGAAAAATTGAACTTGAAATTCAGCCATAAAATTCACAGACTTCCAATAAATCTAGATCAGAACCATGGACGAAAATGACAATTTTATATCAGAAGTAATGGGAAAAATCAACACCCAACTAGAATCATATTGAAGAATCCCTGTTTAATGTAATGCCTAATTGAAAAAGAAATCTTACCTAATTGCATTGAAGCTTCAAAACAATCCAAGACCTTATAAATGAGTTTTTACAAAATAGCTACACCACAAATTTGGATACTTTAGGAAGCACACACTTCTAACCACAAGCAACCCTAAATTTCAGTATCAATCGACCACAACCAAAAACTGCAAGCATCTCAAATAACAATATAGAGGCCATTAACAATATAACATACCTTTCATTAATGCTGTAAGTTTCTGAATCCCACCATAGTAGCCAAAAACTCTGCAATTATGCATCGAACGAGTAATAACTTTTAAAGCATCCAAAACAGGTAATCCTTCAGAAGTGATAATCAAGATTATGGAAGCTGCTGGAATGTCGGTTGCTGTGCGTCCCACACCATTATTTACTGGAGAAAATAAAGCATATGCAATGACATTTTAGAAATATTTACACTAAATATTCAATCAATCTATATTTAAGAAGAGAAACTCATAAAAAATGGGAAGAATTAAGTGACAGCATAATACCATAGCTATCTATAATAATCTCCAGAAATAAAGCCCTATATTGTAGAAAAGATGCCCTGTGGCTAATTTAATATTGCAAAATAATTCACTGAATGCTTAAAAGACATAATAATAATAATGTGACTTGCTTTGAATAAGTATGAAATTATTAGTTCAGCAAAAGTATAACAGTCTGAAAAGCATATCAGAATTATTGAAATTACACATAATAGGACAACTTGGAAATCAATCAAAAAGCTCTTCAGTTAGGTGAATCTGAACTTGATTCAGAAACAACCTAAATTAATAGAAATTGCCATTTATGCGTCACCATGAGAGAAGTACTTTAACTTCCACTACCAGATGAGCCTACAACATACTACCATAAAGAGGAACTTTAGCAATTACAAGGGATTCCAATAAAGTTGCCTAGAATGATATTGTAATCAATTATCACATTGAAAAAATAGATAAACGTCAATTGAACTAGTTCTAACAAGTGTTTAAGTTACAAATTGAAATTTTAATTTTTTTTCAATGTAATCAGTTAATTAAATCTTTATCATTTACATATAGGACAAAGGTTTCAAATCGCAGGAGTTCTAGTTTTCCCTTTATTTTACTGTCTTCTGAATTTTCTCATTCTTTTCCAATATATCGTCATAAAAAAAGACCTACCTATCAACAAAATAGTCTGCCGAGATGAAAGCAACTTGCTCAGAGGATATAAATCAACTTACACTCAGAAACCAATTTGGTTAATTGCATGATCTCTTCAGTCAAAGTCAAAATGATTTCAGCTGGATGCCCAGCAGAGCAGCCAACAACTACATCATTAACACTTGTTAAATACTCTGCAGCTTGAACAGTTGTTGAAGCAGCCGCCTCTGGCAACTGGCCACCATTAACAGGCTCCCAGTTCTTGAATACTGTCAGAAATTGCTTGAGGAAAACCTGAAACAACTTTTTCTTTTCCACCTAAAATCAAGCAAATCAGGGGAAAAAATCCATTAATATAGGAAAACAAAAAAGTTATAGTCAAATTCTCACAGCAGCCTACAATCTAATGACAAATACCATGAACAAAACAGGCCAGGACTACGTTGAACACAGACAGGATCTCAAACTGAAATAGATGCCTAAACTCTGATTCTCAGAGTCAGGTGATTTAACGACATGTTAATGGTCAGCTTTGTGACCATGTCCCACCCTACCCCCAATCCAAGCTTTGACCAGCAACCATCTATCTATAACTAAGACTAAACAGACTCGAGAATAGGAGAATACTTTAAGAAAGCAGAGCTTAATTAGAAAGAGCTGAATAGCAGGAGGAAAAAGAAATAAACAGATGAAAGATAGCCTAAAGTGAGAAAATATGTATAAAACCTACCAAAATTAATTATTCAGTGGCATCTAAAAGCCTTTAAAGTTTTAAATTGAATACCTTGAGACTAGTTAAGCATGCTACAAGAATACTACACAATTGTGAACAAACTTCCAATGCTCAAAGACTCAAGAAAGGTTTCTTCTCTAAACCTTTTAACTTCTTAAGCAGAATGAACACACTTCCTTTAAAAGATAGTCCAATTATAGTCTAGATTATATGTCATTATCACCTCCTTCCAAGTTGTTAACAGTTTCATTTTCTTGGATCAAATCTAGGAGAAGAAATACACACCATGCATGAATTGATATGAATGAGAAAAAAATTCTATTAACAGTATACTGAAACTATAATAACTTAAAAGAATTTTGAGAACTTTTCAGGCAGCGCATACCTTATCAACAGTGTTCTCATATCTCTCCCACAGTGTACTCAAAACTGCCTCATCATCCACTTCACTGGAAGAAAATACCAAAAAGAATGTAGAACTAAATTAATTAATAATGATTCAGCTTGAACAAAATGAAGGTTCAGGACCAACAACTTAAGGTAAATCAAGTGCATCCAACAGATAAATCTATGTCTCCAAACACAAATTACAAACAGTTAGACTCTTGTCAAAATAAGCAACTACTGAAATTCTTCAACAAATAAGTTTAAACCAAAGTGCTCAAATTTCCAAATTTTACTCACTTAGAAACTCCATTGTAACACCCATATTAATAACCGGAGATTTGTAAATCAATAACAGCCAGCCAGCATCAGTACCTGAAGCAGATCCTTGGAGTTGGAGGAGACAACCTCTCCCCTTGTGCCCCTGGTGAATCTCCAGTTTGGCCACTAGATGTCCGACGAATAAGGTCGGCTACACCCTTCACAATGTTCATGCTTACCACCAAGATTTATACTACAATTACAGTTTCATAAGCCAACAATCAGGAAACAGATGGCCATTCCAGACCATCACTATTTCGCCAAGATCAACCAAGCTGTTCACATTAAACCAGGCTCAAATGCTTCAGTATCGTACACTAAACAGTAATAAATTCAGTTTAAACAAATAATTCGCACCAAAACTTTCGTTGTTATTTATTCTTTTTAAACACTTTTTATCACGTCAGTTATAATTTCCTCTTCTTTAACAGAAAAACGCTCGCCTACAAAAAGCAAGAGCTTAAATCAATTTAACTAACTAAAACCAACCCTAGTAATTACATTTTCACGAAGAAGATCCAATAAAAAAAATGACCCAATGGAAGCCATACGGACATTCTTTAAAATGGCGAACACTCAAGAACACGCTATTAGAGATTAAATATCTCGAAAAGGAAAAAGATGAAGATAAACTCATCGATAATTTTCGATCATTTAAGCAAACGAGATTAAAGACGAGACAAATAAAGCAGTCGCCGATTATGGAAGATAAAAATACCTGATCAGATCAAACGCCTGAAGTTCTGTCTTGAATTCTAGGGTTTACGATACAAGATCTGGGTTCTAATGGTTTCCTTCAGCTTCTTTCGATGGAGTAAGTGACAAAGGAAAAAAAAAATGAGAGAGAGAAAATAGAAAAAAAAATGAGCGATTGGAATTAATAAAAAAAAAAAAGAGAGAGAGGAAAAGGAAGCAAAGGAGAAGCTTAAAGGAAGTCTAAAATCAGGAGTTTTATTAAATTTCAAGATTTGCCCGTTTTGGGGTAAAACTGTTTGTTTCACGGCATTACAAAACGACTTTACCGACCCTCGTCTTATCTTTGACGTTGCCGTTTTATGTCTCTCAATAATCCGACACCGTTTTTTCTCTTTGGATTCTTATATTTTGCAATTTTAACCTAAGGTCATCGCTGAGCATAGAAATTGGGCCGTCACTTTCTGGCGGATCCATGATAGTCATAGATTGGGTTTTGAAGGACGAAATCACAAAGCTATGACATCTATTGCTTTCCTTTTTTGATGGACAGAACGTTATCGTTTTCAACGTTATCTATGTACTACTTCTTTTATCTCAATACATTTTCTATGTTAAGGACGATAAATTCACTTTATGGATATAAAATCTAGTTTAGTTTTATTTTTTTTCTTATAACTTATATTTAGTTGATTTGTTGGTTGGATTTTTCATACTTTGTTTACATAGATCATGTATGTCAAAATTTAAATTAATTAAAAATATTTAATTATATATTTTATATAATAAAATACTGATAATTAAACATATATTGAAAATTAATATTCTAGATTTAAATAATAAAATGTTTTAATTAATTTAAAATTTTGTATGAGTAAATTATTAAATTTAACAATCAATTTATCAAAATATTAATCATAATCATAATAAATATGTACTTTGTAGATGCTAAAGTATACTCTATAACTGATTAACAAAAAAAAAAAGGAAACATGTGATTGACAGTGAAGCAACCCCATCTTTCTTTTTCTCTTTATGGCATTTAATTTAAGTAACAATCAGTTAAATGGAGTAACAAAGACTTGACCTCTCTTTTCTTATTCTTCACGAAGTGGGCCAAGATCTAAAGTTGAAATTCTCTGTTTCATCATATGTACACAATATATATTTATATTTATATTATAATTAAGTGGATATGCAATGTCAAAAACTATAAGTTATATATGACATATTTGTACCTTTAGAATGGTTTATATGATAATAGTGCATGAACATTGTAGTTTAAATTTAGACTTTAAAGGGAAATTGCTTAGTGAATCAATATTTATAATTGGATAAAGATATAACAATAATAATTAGTGCGATGATTATGAGAACTAATTGAAAATTTCAAGTATAAATATAAATACTTTAGCCCACATTTAATAGAATAATAATAAAATATTAATAAATTCAACCTAATATTTTTTAAAAAAATAAATCATAAATTTTGAAAAAAATGATAGGTTCTGATTCAATGATAATCGTCATAGGCTGGATATAGAGAAACAGTATTTGAATCCTTGTCAGCCGTTACAACTTAAAACCAAGCAAGTGGATCTTTTTCAACTATGGAGGAATGGACTGTGGTTACTTGATTTAATATCCCAACTCCCCAATAAATCTTAGACGACTTTCTTCAATCACCTTAATGGGCTTATTGGTAAGCTTTAAGTCTATACAGCTTTTTAGATTAGATTTGGGACTATATCAAAATAAAGAAAAAGATCATCTAGAATCTTATTAAAAAAAAGTCAAAAAATCTATCAAATTTTTGTATTTTTTAATTTTATTTAATTTAATCTCTATATTCAAAAGCAAAATAATTTAATTTATTAATTTTAAAAATTACATCAATTTAATTCTTTTTCTTAACGGTATCTAAATTTTTAATTAAAAAATTATGTCAACAATGACATCATCATTAGCGCCAACGCTAACGTTCCATTTTTTAAGATATGGCATACCACATGCACCAAATGATGATGTGGCACTGACATGCTGCATGTCAATGCCACGTGGCAGTTCAAATATATTTTAAAAAAAATTTTTGTTATGTTATATAAATTAAATTAAATAAAAATATATAGTATAAGGATTAAACTGAACAAAATTAAAATATTAAAAGATTAAATTAAAAAGTATAAATCTTTAAGTAGATTATTGATATGCTTATTAATAAGTCAAATATTTAAATGTAAAAAATTTATGGTGTTAAAAAATATATATAAATATTTTCTTACTTGATTATTTGATTCTAAAATATGTAAATTAATTTATCTTTTTTATAAAAATTAAGTTTGAATTCTCTTTTTATTAAAAAAATTTAAATTTCATAACTGAAATCAAATTTAGATAAATAACTTATATTATGTTAAAATAAAATAATTAAATAAATTCTTTTTTCTTCTATTTTTAATTGTATAAAAATTTAAAATTTATTTAACTTAGTTTTTAACTTGAACTAAAATCAGATTAACAAAATATATTGATTTAGTTTTATCCTTTTATAAGTTTTTTTTTTTTTTATCTTCACAGATATTTTGACGGCATGGTAAGTTCAAATTCAACCAACTCCAAGAATTAGCTGTAATTGTTAAATGACAAAGTATTGAGGAGTAATGTATTGAGCAGTAGTATTGCTTTTACATTCTGTTTTGCAAAGGTTGCTAGGAAAAGGGACAAACCCAACTTCAAGCTATGAATGTTTGTGTTTCTTACTTCTATGTGTTGTAGTTATCTATCCAAAATTGTTTGTCGACAAGAATGAGATCTCTTCATTGGGTGGGCTGATAAGCTTATTTCATGGAATTTTGTTCCCGAGAACCAAACAGATGTTAGAACAAAAAGATAGGTAGAAACATGGTTAGGAGCAATGAAATGTAGAAGATGATCTTTTTTTGTTCTGAAGTTACTTCCTGTAGCAATTGTGGAAAGAGCTCTTTATTTGATTTGTGTGGATGGGAATCATACAACTATAGCTTGCTACTTAAGTGCTTACTGTGCATTATAATGCAGGGAAAATGAGGCTTACAACAACATGCCTTCCTTTTTAAGTTTTTTGTCCATTTTGAGATGCTTTTGTTTATATATTTTTTAGATTTTATTAAATGTATGAAATTCTTCGTATTTAAGCAAAAAAAATTTATTATTTCTTTTTGTATGTAACTAATCTATATATTTATTTAATTTTGTTCGACTTTGTTGGTTTTTTATTATAAAAAATAAATTACTTCATTCTTAACTAAGTTAATGTATATCTGTAACGCAAAATGAAAATGAAAATTGTCTAGAACTTTGATTAAGACAAATAGGAATGATTTATACAAAAGAGATCAAATCTCTCAAAATATAATTTTCTATAGGCCATTCCAATTCGGTGATGTAACTAGCAAAAGTCCTGTAATCAAGGTAAATTAAGATCTAGATCAATAATTTCTCCATTATCAATAGGGGGATGTATGCTTTTGTTTTGTGTTATAGCATCTAAGTACAACCCCACTTAGCGCTAGCTTGATTGAAGCCTTGAGATATTTTGTAGACAAAGAATTTCAACTTTTCAGATACTTTGTCATTTAGAATGTACCATACGTTCATAGACAATGGAAAGTGCATTTTGATCATATTAACATGTTATTTCACATATAATTCTTAATGCTAGTGGCTTAGGTTTTAGATGCTCTCCTATATCTCACTCTTTGTCAGGTTTTTTATATATAAAAGTCCTCCACTAATGACACACGGTAGTCTGCCTTTCTACTGTTTCTGCTTCTCTGTTTTTTTGTTTAGTGGATGACTAGGACCATTAGAGCATCCACATCAAGAACTTTTTCCTCATTAATCCTAATCCTTCAGATTTATTTAAAAGCTCACGTGAGTTTGTGGAGATCCCTTGCTTTTCTTGTTAACCAAAAGAAACCTTTTTACAAGATTAAGATATCAGAAAGATTTCCTCCACGGAAATGGTCTTGGTTCCAGCCTTTGCTTTCTCACGAGTTTTGAGTAATTACAACAGCAAAAACTAATGAAATAGTAAGACTCCATTAATAATTAGATTTACCAAGTAATCAGATTCTATATTATAGTAACATGGTCGGAAGATCTCTTTCATTTCCTTCGGGACAAGTCATAGATTGAGCAGCATGAAGAGCATAAGTTAGCTTTTGAGCTCACAAAAATCAGCTTCCATTGGAGCATTAAAACCTTCTCTAATTCGTTCGTCCTTATCCTATGGTGCTGTTTTCAAAGGCTAAAAGTCGGGAGTTCCCCATGCAATTGCCATTGGAAATCTCT